GGCTCTTTTCTGGATTTTGATAATTGGTGGGTATCGGCCTAATTATTCTCTGCATCGCTCTCTCTCTCTCTCTCTCTCTCTCTCGCTCTCTCTCTCTCTCTCTTTCTTTCTTTCTTTCTTTCTTTCTTTCTTTCTTTCTTTCTTTCTTTCTTTCTTTCTTTCTTTCTTTCTTTCTTTCTTTCTTTCTTTCTTTCTTTCTTTCTCACCCTCTCTCTCTGTTTGTCTCCCTCCATCTCTTTTCCCCATGTTTATTTGCCTTAGCCTGCTGGTAGTGTGGGTTTAATGTTAGACAGAGTCAACTTTGCACCCCGCTTGACTGGGCTGACGTAACTAGGAAAATCCAGCAGTGGTTATGGGCTGAGGCCTCAGCTAATTCACAGCTGGATGGATTTTGTTTTCCTCCAGTGTCGTGGCATCCGCCTGTTCCCCACAGTAACCTGATGAGTGACAGGATAGGCCTAAAGCTTCCAACTTTCAGATCCACCACATACCCTATGGTATGGGACGTACAGTATGTGTGTGTGCTCGTAAGTATACTGAGTATACAAAACATTAAGAAGACCTGCTCCTTCCATGACATAGACTGACCAGGTGAATCCAGGTGAAAGCTATGATCCCTTGTTGATGTCACTTGTTAAATCCACTTCAATCAGTGTAGATGAAGGGGAGGAGATAGGTTAAAGAAGGATTTATAAGCCTTGAGACAATTGAGACATGGATTGTGTATGTGTGCCATTCAGAAGTTGAATGGGCATGACCAATGTAAGTGGGTGTGGTTTATGTCAAGAACTGCAATGCTGCTGGGTTGTTCACGCTCAACAGTTTCCCGTGTGTATCAAGAATGGTCCACCATCCAAAGGACATCCAGCCAACTTGACACAACTGTGAGAAGCATTAGAGTCAACATGGGCCAGCATCCCTGTGGAACGCTTTCGACACCTTGTAGAGTCCATGCCCCGACGAATTGAGGCTGTTCTGAGGGCAAAACGGGGGTTGCAACTCAATATTAGGAAGGTGTTCCTAATGTTTGGTATACTCAGTGTATGTGCGTGAGAGTCGAGTGTATGTGTGTGTATGCATGTGTGTGTGCGTGCAGTCATCTACTTGGCCAACATTATATCCGTCTCGCCTGCTGCTCTCCTCTAGCCACGTATTACCAAACTGATTACCCCTGCAAATGCGCATAGCGAAACCGGATGGTTGTAGAGGTTAGGTCTCCTCCTGTCCTCACTTCACTCTCCCTCTCTCAGTTCCTCCTCCCTCTCTCCTGGTCCTCAATTGATGCCCATCCCTAAACTCTGCAAAATATGGACCTAAGCTTGTAACTCATGCCTGTACTCTCTCTCTCTGCACCACCTAAAAACCAGAACTGGATTCCCTGAAAGCCTGTGATTAGGCCTAACTATAAGTGGATGGCTCCAAGCCAATGGCATCGGCCACTACCAAACCAGCAAGGGTCATAGGCAATGTTCCCTCTCGTTTCTTTCAGCACTGAGCAAATTTCAGGTCTGCTGAGCGCAAACTTGAAGGTTGTGAAAATTCTGCGCAACTTCCAACGCGCGTTTACTGTGAACACTGAGGCTGTACCCGCTTTAAGTTACAGTTTTAACAGTGGCCAAGTAGGCTACTGTGGCTATTTTATCATAATGTAGGCCTGGCTATTTTATCATAATGTAGGCCTACCAGAGTGGCCTACCATCAAACACATTGGAGAAAATGCATCCCATAACATTTTAACATGGAAATAGCTGTTCTATCATTCGGCCTACAGTAGCAGCCAATGTGTTGTGTTCAATGTAGGTCTACATGCCATGAGACTTTTGAAAAAAACATGCAGGGCTTGACATTAACCTGTTTATCCACTTGTCCTTCAGACAAGGAGGTGACTAAAAATGTTGCTGTGTTGTTTGATGCAAGTAATAGATCCGGTACTAGATCCGTTGTTGTATTACTTGTGAGGCACAGCTGAGTGAGCATACATTAAATAATTAGCTTTTTATTTTTATTTTACTGGGCTGATGGTGCCTGCATCTGATGGTCCGTCTCAGCGGAGGGAGAGAGCAGCAGACTGAGGGTATCCACTCAACATCCCTCCACTTTCCCTTTCCCTTTCCTCCACTGACACTGACTAAAAAGGGACACTGTCTTCCAGCTGATGGCGAAACTTGAGTTGCACCGCATTATTTCTGCCTCATGCACAAATTCATGTTGTTACTCCTATGGACAGAGGAAGTGAAATATTCCTCGATATTAAAAAGACCCAAGCCGCAAATAATAACAAAGCAATTCTATAGATACACTTTCCTGCTCATTCATTACTGCTGCAGTGCTTGTTGTAGCGCTGAGTGGAAATAGGAAGGACACACATTTTATGGTTTATAAAAGTGTTGAATACCAAGTGTTGACAGTGCTGAGTAAGAACTTGAAGTCACTCGTAAAAACAGCAGCTCATTGCTGTATTTGTTGACAGTCTCTCTCTAGTCATGGTTTTAAAAGTTTAGAAATCTCACAGTATCAACTTCGCTGTCGCTTTCTTTTATGCCTGCTACGTTACTGCAGACACGGTAATCTGAGCCATCCGATTGGCCAGCGGTAGGCCTATAGTGCACTTGATTTGCTTTCTGGGCCCTCCAGGAAGGCGGAGTTTGTACCTTCAGACACATAAAATGGTTCAAAATGCAATCTATGGGTCTAGTAAGCCTCTGTAATAATGTTTCAAAGTGTACAAATGCACCAGTCTGACGGGGACACACCCTCCTGTAGTCGGTTTCCTTGTGTTGAAGGACAGATTCCCTTTCCTTCTCAGCCTGACTGAAACATGAGCTATTCTATGTTTACAGTCCTGCTCAATCACTCACCAGTTACTGACAGGCTCTATGTGTCAACAGTCATAACCAAAGCATGCTTATCAAGAAACACCCCTGTGAGGATATAGCCTAGTTTTAGTGCGTATGAGACCTCACATGCCACAAGAAATCAGTAAAACAGAACATCGATACAGAATTCATTGGTTAATAATTAGTGATAGTATTGGTAAAAGCTGAGATATGGTCAAATGGGGCAAAAGAAAGGGGTATAAAACATGAAAGTACTTCCTTCAGAATTTGACGATTGGATTAGACGGGGCACTAGTAGAGGTGGGCGTTGCTTCGAGAGAGAGCGAGAAAGTGTGGCTGCTGCGCCGGGTAGATTTTTTAAAGCTGTCAAAAAATAATTTATAGACGTTTATATAAAAAAGTGCGATGTTGTCCGATCCGGATTGACCCTTCTCTGGGTCCAGACTCGGACCGCCAGTTGAGTTTGGCTGGCCTACATTATGATCAAATAGCCACAGTAGCCTACTTGGCCACTGTTAAAACTGTAACTTAAAGCAGGTACAGCCTCAGTGTTCACAGTAAACGCGCACTGGAAGTTGCACTGAATTTTTACAACCTTCAAGTTTGCTATCAGCAGATCTGAAATTTGCTCAGAGCCTAAATATTTTGGAGGGAACATTGGTTGAGTGCTATTGTTGATTTTGCCTTTAGAATGTGCTGGCAATAAGGCATCCTATTTAACTATTGTAATGACTTTGCCAAGGTGGCACACGTTCGCTGAAGTCAATGGCTGTGTTCGAGAGCATCAAAACCGTGATGTGTCATGGGAAAATTGTGCCATCTAGCGTCCATAAGATCTAATTGTCAAATCAGCAAAAGTTTCACAACTTTTATTTTTAACTCAACAGTGTTTCCTAATGGGGGCAGGTATCCTAGCGGTTGGGCCAGTAACCGAAAGGTCGCTGGTTCGAATACATGAACCGACAAGGTGAAAAACCTGCTGATGTGCCCTTGAGCAAGGCACTTAACCCTAACTTGCTCCAGGGGTGACGTACTATGGCTGACCCTGTATAACACCACATTTCTCTGCAGCTATCCTGTGTATGTGACCAAAAAAAAAATAGAATGTGGGATGTAACCGTAAAATAAACTAGCTCGTAACCCCATCCCAAAACACCATTTAAATCTTTAAATAGAGAAAAGCTGCATCATAAACACATAAGTGGCTTTTATATGGGGGAGTCTGCCCTGCCCTTTAAAAGTTAGCAATTAAGATAAATAACATTGGAATCCTTTTGTTACTGTTGAATTTATTTACAGCTGAAATCAGTGGAATAAGCTATACCTTGTGCAACGAGTTATTGGAATTCATAAACATCTTGCAAAAACAAAACAATATTCATTCTAAAATAATAGTTCATTAAAAAAATGCATTTCAAAGGACCAATTCAATACACTGTACTTCATATCAATATATTCTTAAAGCATTACAGACTGGTATGACATGGAAATATCATCATAACACTGTTAAATACTAATAACAAACAATATCTAGATGTTATGAAAAAGATAATTAATAAAATAAGCCACTTATCTTTTAAATTAAATAAAAAGTCAACTGATGTGGCAAAGATGCCAGAAGCAAGCTTAGGCACAATGTCAGTAAAACCACACTCACTACCACATTTTTTAAAATAAAAAAACTAAGCGAAACTACAAAAGCATAAGACTGTCTGAGGCGATTGAGTATAGTTGAGTGAAATGGCATTGGCTGGGTACTGTACAGTGCTTTTAGTGAAAGTGAGTTAAATATAATGAGCTTGGTGGTTTTCGCCAAAGCAAGGGACTCATGAGACATCAAAACCACCATTTCTATCTCATATACATCACTGAGAAGCAGACGACAACAGGGCATCATATGACAAACCACCCAGAACATTTTAAAAATAAGTGATCCCCTTGAGGCGAGGTGGGTGGAAATGCTCAGTTTGGTGCTTTAATTGAGACGAGGTGGGGGGAGCAGGTATAGGGTCAGGTAAAACATCAGGGTTCAGGGAATATGGGGGATATAGTTCTATAGCTCATCCTCCATCTTTTCCGTCTTGGTGTTCCATAGAAGCTGAGGAGGCTTAGGAGACAGAGGAGGGTAGTAGACCTGCTACTGGCCAACAGGGGGCAGGGGTATCAGAATCCAGACGGCGTCAGGACGTTCATGTCACGGGGTTTGAGTTTGTGTGGGCGGGTCTGGAGAGGTCTGTTGCCCTCGATGCCGCTGATCTCGATCTTGGGGGGGTTGAACTTGGCAGGGTCGTCCGCCATGAGGTTGACCTGGGTCTTGATGCCCTCCATGGTGTTAGACTTCTGCACGCCAAAGTATGACTGTAGTGTGAAGCCTGAGGGAGAGCAGAAGAGACAAGGATGTTAATGCACCTGACAAAAAGGTATAGCATCAGCAAAGCAAAAACTGCAACATCCATTACATTTCAAGTTATTTTTAGAAGCCGAAATGCTGACTTGACCATGACTATAGAAGACTATTATTCACACATTCTATCTTGGGAACACAAAGTCTATTCTAAGATCCCTTGTCATTTTATTTATTTTTTTACAAAGAAAGCTCAGCCAACAGTCCTAATTATAGAAACTCCTGAGGGACTGATTTCTCACCTGTGTTGGTTTCTGAACCGGGGTCAGTAGTGGACTTCTGTACTACTGGGCGTGAAGTTCCAAAGAAGCTCCACCTCTCCCCTCCTGCTCCACCCCCTCCCTCGTTGCCTCCCATTTCTGGGCTGAGATTAGGACTACCGAGCTCCGGGGCAGTGAGAAATGGTGCAAGACTCTGGCTGTTGAACCAGCTCCTGCATGCCCACACACAACAAAGCTATTAGAGACATGGAATAATTGTACCTAATGTGCCATCTGAAAATATTATTCATATTTGAATCTAGTGTTCATTCAGAGGGGAGTGGACTTCTATTCTACTACAGAATCTATTACCAAAATAGCCAAAAATAGCCATTTGATGCATACCTGCGGTTGAGTATCGGTGAGGCGTGGGGGCTGACGCTGGGGGTAACACAGGGGGTGACAGACGGGGTGCCGGAAGGGGTGCCACAAGGGGTGGATTGAGCTGATGTTGTAAGCCTGTCCTCCTTGAAGTCCCCACTTGGCATTTTCAGCTTCTGCAGAGACAAAGAGGTAGAAAGATGCAGCTTAGAAATGCAGCCCATGAGGGAGCGAGAGGCATTTGTTTTGCATGGTAAACCCACACATGCACAGACAGCAATGCAAATGACAAGACCCAGAGCAAGATTGTGACATTGAGGCATGACTATAAAACACACAAACCAAAGACCAGTTTGGCCTGTTTGGCCTGTTTCCCCCAATCAACATTTGTTTTTGCATCAAACTAAGGATCTTTGGAAACTGTTGACCGCAGTCAGTGGGATAGATCTTAGGGGGGGCCACCAAAGAGAAGATTATCTGGCTGGCCACCAGGCTACACAAAGTCCATTGGACCGGCACCCAGATGAATGGCCTAAGACCCCTCTCTATGCAGGAATCCCATTCTTGTCAGTCCAAAATTAGATGATCACTGCATGTCATTTTCATTATACATAAGCGTATAACTCAGAGGCATCAATCCAGGGAGTGTTTTTCCCAGGCCAAACAATAGACAGGCAGACCACACCTGTCCTGCATCCACCAACACAAAGTCAATACCTGTCACCAAACATCCCCTATATAATCCATAGCAGAGTAACCCTACCCAAATAAGGTTTCCCAGCTAGGTACCAATATTCCCAGAAGACTCAGATAGCCTAGTCTTCGATCTAGAGAGTTTCCCAGCTAATGAAATCCATAGAACCATGATAGGCTAGTGAAAAAGCGATGCTACATTCCTTCTGGGAATATCGGGATGAATATCCCATACTTCTGTGTGTACTATGCTCCTGCATTCTGTTCACTGTTGCAATCCTTGCTCTTCGAGTTCTGCTCACTGTAGTGCTGATCATCCGAATGTGGCTTATACACTGTCCCCTCTTGGTTTTCTCTTGCTCCTAACAGTCTATCTAGAGGTTTCCTCTAGGGCGTCAGCACCAGACCTAAACATCTTTGGAACCCTGCCCTTCGAAACCAAATCTGGTGTTCAGCACAGCACCAGCCGGTTGGTCGGGGACCACATTTTGATGTCATACAACCAATTAGCCCTTGATCATGACTCAGTTCCATTACATTACAGAAGAGTCATTGGAAGAAGGCATCTGCTGTATTGGGACGTTTAAGAGCCCCGGCGCTGGGTCTGAACAGTAACACACATCGCTTGTGGTACGGTTTTGGAAGCATAAGGACCTTCTCTTTAATTTCAGTGAGAAACAAATTTCTAATAAACAAAACGTTAAATTGATACACACCTTTATAGGGTTAGTGTTCCCACACAGCCATATCTCCATGTTCCAGCACTTGTTTCCGGAAGACAGAGGGACCACCTGTACTAATTTGCTATCTAGCATGCTCCGAACACCTGTGTGCAATGTTCCCTCTAAGCTGCGCAGAGAAGCACGAGATTGAACTTCACCCAACTTTCTAGAGTTTTCCCCGTTAGTTAAAACTCTCAACGTTTCCCTTTACTGTGGTAACTGTGATTGAATCAATGCAATATTAGCCACTTTCAATGAAACATACCGAAACCAAATGAACTATGCAAGACTTAGTTTGAAAAACTAACTAAGCAAGAGATTTTGTTGTAGGCAGAACTCATCGGAGTTGGATTCTATTGCATTGACAGGCACGACTCAGGCCCGTACTCTAAACAGACCGGTGCGCCATAACCAATCAGAGCTGCAGTAGGCCTATATGCAAATAGACCATTGCCATATATGGATCTGTGTCATTCACATTGAACTGGACTGTTTTTACAGCATGAGCAGTCGTGAGTAGATGTGCTTGTTTTGAGATCAAAGCGAGAGCTACATGTAGCAACGTGTGCACATTTGTTCATATCCTTTGTTAGTGAGTTATTAGCCCAGTTATATATAATTTGTAGTCAGCAATGGGGGAGTGATTGCTTCCTACAAGAGCACAAAACTTGTGCATTTCTAGACACGAGTCAGGTAAATAACCATTTTTTGTCTTAAAAGGGGCAGTGTTGTATTTTGAGACAGGCTTGAATAAGCTATGTAGCCAATAGGCAGAGGGTAGCATAATTTGCCTGATTCTCTGTAATAATGGTATGGGGATAATGATTCATTTTATTTTGTAAAGTGGTTTCTTGCATCAAACACCATCAACATTTTGAGTCACCTCCTTATCTGAAGGACAATTGGATAAACAGGTTAATGTCAAGCCCTGTTTCAAAAGTCTCATGGAATGTAGGCCTAGATTGAACACCACACATTGGCTGCTACTGTAGGCTGAATGATAGAACAGCTATTTCCATGTTAAAATGTTATGGGATGCATTTTCTCCATTATTTTTGATGGTAGGCCTACATTATGAACAAATAGCCACAGTAGCCTACTTGACCACTGTTAAAACTAACTTAGTGTTCACATTAAAACGTGCGCCGGAAGTTGCACAGAATTTTCACAACGTTCAAGATTGCGCTCAGCAGACCTGAAATTTGCTCAGTGACCAAAAACATTTTGGGGAACATTGCCTGTGTGTAACGAAAGAAGGCCGGCAGAAACGTGTTGTCACTGAAAAATACTTTGGCTGCAACTGTGATAAAGCCGGTTAAAACAGTGTACGTGTGCATTTTGCATTTGTGAAATTATTTTGATGTGAAATTAAAGTAAAGGGCTTTATGTTTGTAGAACCGTATCGCAATTGAGAATCGATTCACGTTTCGCTGGAATATTTGGCTGTCAGACAGTTCACCTCTGAAAATAACATAAGGTCCTTGGACCTTAAGGAGTAACGGTACTAGAGCCCCACAGTGGAGGTTTCATAATACCCATAAAACCTAGCGGTCAAACAGGTAAATGGTTCCAAACGTTTTTCCAACATAAAATGTTTCCCATTTTTGAAACACTTAAAATAAAGTCTGTGTTTCATGTAACCTACCCTTGTGTGACGTTTTAATAATGTAAATCTCTCTCAGACAAAGTTACTTTTATCAATATAGCGCCTTCGGAAAGGATTCAGACCACTTTACTTTTTCCACATTTTGTTAGGTTACAGCCTTATTCTAAATTGATTAAAATTGTTTTTTCACCCTCATCAATCTACACACAATACCCCATAATGACAGAGCACTTTTTTTTTTTTTTTTTACATTTATAAAATAAATACAAAATGAAATATCACATTTACATAAGTATTCAGACCCTTTACTCAGTACTTTGTTGAAACACCTTTGGCAGTGATTACAGCCTCGAGTCTTCCCGGGTTTGACGCTACAAGCTTGGCACACCTGTATTTGGGGAGTTTCTCCCATTCTTCTTTGCAGATCCTCTCAAGTTTTGTTAGGTTGTATGGGGAGCCTTGCTGCACAGCTATTTTCAGGTCTCTTAAGAGATGTTAAATCGGGTTCAAGTCCAGGCTCTGGCTGGGCCACTCAAGGACATTGAGACTTGTCCCGAAGCCACTCCTGCGTTGTCTTGGCTGTGTGCCTAGGGTCGTTGTCCTGTTGGAAGGTGAACCTTCGCCCCAGTCTGGGGTCCTGAGCGTTTTGGAGCAGGTTTTCATCAAGGATCTCTCTGTACTTTGCCTCGATCCTGACTAGTCTCCCAGTCCATGCCGCTGAAAAACATCCCTACAGCATGATGCTGCTGCCACCATGCTTCACCGTAGGGATGGTGCCAGGTTTCCTCCACGCTTGGTATTCAGGCCAAAGGGTTTAATCTTGGTTTCATCAGACCAGAGAATCTTGTTTCTCTTGGTCTGAGAGTCTTTAGGTGCCTTTTGGCAAACTCCAAGTGGGCTGTCATGTGCCTTTTTACTAAGGAGTGGCTTCCGTCTGGCCACTCTACCATAAAGGCCTGAATGGTGGAGTGCTGCAGCGATGGTTGCCCTTCTGGAAGGTTCTCCCATCTTCACAGAGGAACTCTAGAGCTCTGTCAGAGTGACCATCGGGTTCTTGGTAACCTCCCTGACCAAGGCCCTTCTCCCCCGATTGCTCAGTTTGGCCAGGCGGCCAGCTCTAGGAAGAGTCTTGGTGGTTCCAAACTTCTTCCATTTAAGAATGAAGGAGGCCACTGTGTTTTAGGGGACCTTCAATGCTGGACATTTTTTGGTTTCCCAGATCTGTGCCTCGACACAATCCTGTCTCTGAGCTCAACGGACAATTCCTTCGACCTCATGGCTTGGTTTCTGCTCTGACATGCACTGTCAACTGTGGGACCTTACATAGACAGGTGTTTGCCTTTCCAAATCATGTCCAATCAATTGAATTTACCACAGGTGGACTCCAATCAAGTTGTAGAAACATCTCAAGGATGATCAATGGATACAGGATGCACCTGAGCACAATTTCGAGTCTCATTGTTTTAATACATTTCTAAAAATGTCAAAAAACCTGTTTTCGCTTTGTCATTATTGGGTATTGTGTGTAGTTTGCTGAGGAAATGTTTTTATTTAATCAATTTTAGATTAAGGCTGTAATGTAACAAAATGTGGAAAAAGTCAAGGGGTCTGAATACTTTCCGAAGGCACTGTATGTTCGGCTCTATTTACTCTCAAATTTGAAAATGCTAATTAGCATCAAAGTAGACATCATGCAATTCTACAAATCCCTGCAAGCTCCTGCAGGTCATCTCTAGCTGACATCTTTGCGCACAGGTATTGTGTCAATTTAAAACTTGCACAATACAGTTCACAGAAATATAAATTGAAAGAAATGTAGCTAAAGTATTCATTACTGCATTTAGCCAACATTAGATAGTTAATCCAGAGATTCTTACCTTTGCCTCGATTCGGCAGTCTCGCCCAGATGATCATGGCATTTGTATTTCTTTATCATAGCCACATTAGCATTTCATTTTTGGGGGGGCCAATATATTGATAAAAGTCACCTTGTCATAGAGAGATTTACACAGTCATCAAAACGTCATGCCAGGGTAAGCCTAAACGAAACACAGCCCTTATTCTAAGTGTTTCTAAAATGAATGGTGGAAAAACGATTGGAACCATTTCCTTGTTTAACCGCTAGGTTTTATAACTCATACTATGGTACTCTATG